TGCCGTGCAGGATGTGATGAGTAGGTGTCAATGATCCTTCAAGTGCATGGTTGCATGCGAGGTGCTGCCATGGCCTGACTGTAGAAGGCCATCTAACACAATCACCCACCCCACGCCGTCTGAGGCGGCCCAACCACCCAAACCTACTCCCCTTAGGGTTTAGGACCTAAACTCAGTTAGGTCCATCTTGGCCAACGATACCTCTTCATCTTGATATTAGGCTGTCTTTAAAACATTCCTAGAGCCAAGCTGGGAGGGATGTCTGCTATGAGATTTGAGAGGACTTCGCTGTGTTTTGTGAGATTCTAAAAAGGCCCGAGAGGTGCTGGCTTGCAGGCCCTGAGGGTGCTTGGGGTTTAGTAGGGTTTAGGGTTTAGGGGCTTAGGGATCCTAAACCCTAAACCCTAGCTGTGGGGTTTTTTGTGGGGTTGAAAGCTCAGGGACGGCTTCCCATCAAAAGCATCTGTTTTTTTTCGCACCTGTTGCTCTGGGCTTCGCCTTGTTGATTTGCTCAAGGAGGTCCTGAGGGTCAGTGTTAGCGACTGGGGAGAGGGGTGTGTGGGTCAGCTTGCTCAGCAAACGTAAAGGAAAAAATTGAAATCTTCACGGATATAATTTTGAGGCATATTTGAGGAACTCGATGCTCTATACCAAAATCTAGGAATCTAGGACAATGATATAGGTCATTATTTGGGTCCCTGTATTCCTATGTTTGGGGTTTGGTCGGGCTTGGAACTCTTGCCCCATTATCCTGGGATGTCGGGATCGGGGATCATGTCTTCGACTTACATAGGGAATCCAAAACCCTAGGATTTCGGGATTTGGGCTGTGGAGGTCTGGGTTGAGGGTTCAGGGCTTCACGTCTTTGAAGGTTCATCTCCGTGTTTTGCAGATTAAAAAGGGGCTGTTGGGCCGCACCACAGCGCTTCCCCACGTGCCGAATGTCCTCAGAAATCCCTGCTTCTTTGGAAGCCAAAGATACGTGGGATGGACATAATTGTGCATGACCCTCTTTACCCAAGCTTTGTTGTACTATAGTAAACGTATATGTCTTCCAGCGTTGTTCTCAAATTCATGGCCCCTTATGGCTATAGATTATAATACGGCACCTAATATTTAGGGGTACCAAAATGGGACCCTGATTTTGGGATAGACTATCCTACAGCCCAAAGCTCCGTGAGGAGCTTTTGGTCTTGCCGGCCTTTACCCATGTTGCAGACATTCAGCGACTCTTAGAGGGCTGCAGGTTTGTGACCTGCGTCTCAAACTAGGCTCCGCGATCATTTCCGTTTTACCTCTGTTTCAACTGCCACGCCCTACTTGCAGTTGGACATTTCATTGTAGAACCCCCTCACCCTTCCCTGGTAACACCCCTCCCCTTTCAAGCCCTGCGTTCTTAGCTGGGTTCACTGCTCATCTCAGAGTTTCTGCAAGTAGCCCCTGTACAGTCATTGACGGGAAGCCTGAAAAGCCTCTAATGATCCCTGTACATCCCTCGAACACCTGGGGTTCTATTGCTTAGCAGAAACACTAGGTACCCCTCTTGGGCCATTTGAAGACAAGATTATTGTACAACCCTTGTTTAGCAGGAAATCGATTCCCTTACAGGTTTAGAGATATCAAATTCCATACTAAAAAGGATTCAAGTGGGAAAACACATGGAAAACGACATGGACACTGGATTTAGATACCTGTTGCTTACGAGGTAGCTCCCCAAAAGTTACACACGCCCTGCCCGAAATATTCAGTGTTCCCGAGAAGACACCAGATGCGTTTCAGCAGATTTCGTTCTACACCAGGCCGCAGACGCACTTCACAACAATTCAAAACTCTAGTCTGGCAAATGAATTACACCGGCACAAAAACCCCGATGAGAGCTGCATGCTCAATAGGTCCCTGCGCTACTTTACAAGCAGCCCAAAGTGTGCACCCTAAACCAGAAACTAAACGCGAGGATCAAGTACAGATAATAAAGGATGCCTGCAAGCCGTTCACATCAGAAAAAGTGGGTTTTACCTACCTGGAGAACTGACTTTGCAGAATCGTTTTTGAAAAGCAAGACTATGATCGCCATAAACTGCCATGAACTGAAATGCTTTCCTCACCCTACACCTTAAGATCTCATTCTAGTACAACGCCTAACAGATGACTTGGCTAGTGCCGCCTGCCCAATATATGTATAGACATATATATCTCCTATGAAAGACTTTGTGGGTGATGGCGGCCGTTCCCGACAGAAGCTGGGCCTTCAACTAAAGTCCCAGTATCACACCTGCAGCCTACCGCCCAAATCCAAGACGCTAAATCCGCAACCTCAAGCCCTGAATCCTAGACGCCCCCAACCCTAAAGCACATAAGCTGGACGGCAAGGCTCGAGACGTTGTCCGGTTCGCGGGTGGCGCCGAAGAGCTTGAACGGCGTGCTCGGGTCTGAGGAGAGCGAGAGCAGATCCCAGGGAGCCCAATATAACTCCTGTATAATCCCTATGTAATCCCTGTAAAAGTACCATTTAGGGTTGGGCTCTCCGGCTTGTTGGGCATTCTACAACCTTCTGAGTGTTTCATTGGCCTTTTGATGGTTTGGGGCGTAAAGCCCGAGCCCCCACTTTAAAGCTCAAATCCCTGAAGCCTGAAGCACAGAGCCCTTCCAACCCAAAGTGCCTAATCTCAGCAGTTGCAATACGGGAGCGGAGCTTCGGTTGTGCTTCACATTCTTGCGTTGAAGGGGGGATGCGGGAGTGGATTGTCACGCCATTCCCAATATAGTTCGCTATTACAGTCCAATCCCAGCAAGCTATGCCATGCCTCAAATTCGGCCTGTGGCCTCGTGCTTCCACATGTCAGGTGCTAGCACTACTTGCAAGCTCAGGGCAATGAAAACCCAAACGTCAGCCGTCAGTGCAGTTGGAACCTACGTGTGGGCATATCAAGGGACTTAGGGAGTAAAAGCTATGATATTAGGTGGGGTTCCCTAAGCCCTGAACCCTAGACCTCCCCCTGGACCTCCAAGCAGGTCAGCAACAACAGGCTTGCTGCTCGTTGGGGCATGAGTGCAGGATGGGTCTTTGGGATTTACGGTCAAGCGCCAAAAACTGATTGGTTGCTAGTAGGGAATAAGGGAATATACTGGGGTTATACAGGGATAATTGAAAACAACATGGAAAATACTACATTATAGTAGGGTATGTATTTGGGCTATAGTAGGGAATAGGGGAATATAATCCCTATATAATATGTTCCTGTACTCCCTGCTAAGAACCAGTAAG